TTGGCCTTCAAGGATAAAAGATAATTTCATTATTTATCTCCAAGTGGGAGATTGTTAGCATTATGGAGACAAGCAATGCCCCACCTCCAGTATGAGTTTAGTGGGAATACCTAATCTCCACTAAACACAAAGTGGAGGCAAACGGTAGGCATAAATCATGGCATGATTTATCCCCTTCACTCTTATATATATGAGCTGAGCTTGTGTTGTGTTGTGCAGAGTGAAAACACAGAGAGAAAAACGTGAAGAGAGAGCTGTAGAGAGAGCTTGAGTGTGTAGAGTTGAGTAGAGAAGTTTTTCTCCTCCTTCTTGTTTTGTTGTTTGTATTGTTTCTTTGATTGATTAATACAAATCAGTAGCTCCATAGAGTAGGCAAGTTATTGAACTATATAAATTGATGTGTGTTTGAATGCTTGAAAGACCAACAATATATACCATGTTTTTTTTGTTTATCTTTTATTAATTAATTAGTGCAATTTTTATTTTATCTGTGTGGGAAATTAATAGACAACCAGGAGATCTACTAACTTAATAGACAACCAGGAGATCTACTGAATTAAAACATGTACATTCTAAGTGTTTTCATTCATGGCAATGAGATTTATGCAATTTTCAATTCAGTTTTGTTCTATAAAATCTGTTGTTTTGTATGAAAACCTTTTTTTTTCTATGAAAAACCAGTGAGATGGATTGAAAACATTTTTTTGGGTTTTTTTTATTTCGGTTAGTTTTATATTAAAACAGATTTTAAGGTTAAGTTAATGCTGGATTTAGTAAACAAGTAAAGTAATTATAAAATGTGGGTAACTATAATTTGTATAACCTGCCACACATTCTCATATTGGTAAGTTACAGTGATGGCTAAGAGGAATCATATATCTCTGCGGCCAAGATTCCACTAGAATCTTGGGATATGGATCTAAACTAAAAGCCAGCAAGCCAAGCCATGAAGGTTAGCACAGGGAAGACCCCACGTTGTCTTCTCATCTACCTTTCTGCTTGTCAACTGGGAGATGCAAAAGAGATGGCGATGTTACTTTTTCCAGAACAGAGCATGATGGAATTGTTGCGCAGGACTACTGTACCTTCGATGATAAAGCCACGAAGCCATGGCGCGGCAGGGGAGCACTGAGCCACCAATTGCCCCAGCTAGATAAACCTTCAACAAGAATTCAGGTCCAAAAGTCTTTGCAATCTGGGCAATAAAAGAACAAAAGACAGCACATTGGATTTCATTATGGAGTTTCAGTGATGTATTTAAACAATTAGCATGAACGAAAACATTCTATCATATGCAAAAAGCTTTGGATTTCATTAGTCAGTGCAAAGTTTATAATAAATAAATGTAATAATTCATGCAAACCATCTGCTATAATGAACCATCCTTGTCATGTGTGTGTATATATATATATAACTGCTGAAAAACTAACAGACAGTACCAGAAAAAGAATATGCAGGACCATGATAAAACACAAGAATATTGAAATCTATAACCTATCAGAGTGTTTATTATCATTCTAGGTATTTAGGGAGAGTTATCATAATGACCCTCAAGTACAAGATACTTTCAAACAGATGGAGAGGGGGACAAGTGGTGTCTCAAGGTATCAAGGGAGGAGTTGTACTTCATTACCAGAAAATCTCCTCCCAAGAAGTCTATCATGCAATACATGCATGGCAACTCTGTAGCTGGTCATCCGGGGTGTAAAAGATTCTTGAGACGAGCTAGAATGGGTTTTCTGAGGCGGGGATGGAGTTTGAGGTAAAAAAATCACATCAGGCATCGTGAGGCGTGTTAGCAGGCAAAGATGAAAAATACTAGACATTCTGGTTTACTATAGCCCTTAATTACTCATACGTGCTTGCAAGACCTTGGAAATTCATAACCATGCACTTCATTGAGAGGCTTCCCTTGTCCAACCGCCGCCCTGTAATTGTGTTAGCAGTGGACAAACTTTCTAAACACGCTCATTCTATGGCTATTGGGCATCGTTATACTGCTCTATAGGCAGCTTAGGTTTTCTCTCCGTTGTAGCTTGAGTTTGCTCTCGTCATGTTCTAAAACTTCATGGACTGCTTGATTCTATTATAACTAACAAGGACTCCGCCTTCACCAATAATTTTTGGCAGGAATTGTTCAGGTCTCAGGGGCCGGGTCCAGTTACACATATCCTCTGCCTGCCATCCTCGGACCAGCGGGCAGCTGAAATAACTAATAAAACCCTAAAAGGCGCCTAGCTACACTGTTTTGCATGTGATGGCCCTACGAGTTGGTGCTCTTGGTTGCTAATGGCCAGGTGGTGGTATAATACAAATACAACTACCATAGATCACTTAAAACCACACCGTTTGAGGTTCTATATGGATGAAATTGTCGACCAGGAATCCAAGGAAAACTTTAGAGAAACACAAGATGGACAAATATTACAGGTCAGTGGGTGATGCACTTTCAATAAAAAAAAAAAAGGAGGAGGAAATTCGGATAAAAATTAAATCTAAATTCAAGAATTGTTAACACTTCAAAAGAAAAGGAAGAAATTTGTTTGTTGTTTTGCTTTTTAAGTCATCTAACTCTGCTTCGTTAACAACAATTGCTCTTCAACTAAAGGTGTGACTTCCTTCGTTTCGTGGTAGAAACAATTTGAGCATTCTTCATGGACCAGGCATTAAGCCTTGAGATTTTGACACTTGAAGTACCATTGTTGAATGCAAATAGGTATGCTTGCTTGTGAATTGCCAGCTTTGCGTAAGTCCTAGCAGTGATGCAAGCCCTTCCTTCACCACCAAAACTCTCAACTATTGAGTGGTCAATCTACAAAAAGAATCAAATCAACAAAACTCAACCACATAGCAATAACAAAATATGTGGTTTGTCACATAGCTAACAGGCATCTCTTCCACTTAACATACCAAGCTTCTCAGTGTAATATTCTCATGGCGAGGATCCATGTCTACGAAAGCTCCATACGTGGTTTTATCAAGCTCTTCTCTTACAGAAGACCTGTTGAGATTTAAATCTGAAGTTGAGTGTCATGCCAGTTTAATTGCAAGAAAAACTGGAATGGTAGCTTCCTTGTAAACAAGTCGTATAACTAACCTGCTTTGATCACTACACATGAGCACAATATATTTGTGATTGCTTCTAAATATTCTGAAGTAGATTGCAGTTTGCTCTTTTAAGTCCTTGGTGGCAAAGGCTAATAATCCAAATGGCCCAAGCTTGCCTCTGACTGAAGCTTTCTTTTGACTGCAAAGCAGTTGGGCATCTGTCCAGCTTGGGTCCAGTATCTCAGCATCCTCCAAATTGAGCAACTCAAATGAAACATCTACATCAGCCTTCAAAAGGAAAACAGGAAAAAGAAACTTAATTATTTCAACTATAAATAATCTTAACGAGTCATTAGGCATAGCCAGTATTCAGACTCAATTTCATAATTACCTGAGAAGCTGTTATACCAGGAACTTCAAGTACTGATCCAGACTTCAGCTTCTTATCATGGAAACTCACGTTCTTGGAACGTAGTTTCTCGATTTCTTTAACCGGCCACTGTACTAATTGCTTTCCATTTTTACTAAGAAGAACAGTTCTAGGAATTGACTGGAAGCAAAACACACACATTGTTATATGGTGTTCAAAATTTTTTTGCATGCAAGACTGAAAGTTCTATGACATGATTCATTTCTACCAGGAAACAAGGATGTTGATTAATCATTTTTTCCAGTAAATATTCCCCTGTTTCGAAACAATTCTAGGCTGATTCTACAAGTAAAGGTGATATAAGCTTGACATTACCTGAAGTCCAGACCAGCCTTTCTTGATGTCATCTGATTCACTATCAGACTCATTTATCCATCCCCACAAAATTCTCCTGTTCATTGCTCCGTCGAAAAATGTCTTCGAAGCATAAAATTTACCATAATCATACCGCAGATCCACACCACTGTCCATGAAGTTAGTTTCGACTGAAAATTTGTCATTTTCAGGCATATAACTTCCCAATATGTAGTAGTCATGATGATTGAAGCTTGCTTTAAGTACATGCTTGGTAGATTTATCTTGGGAAGAGGTATCAACTCCGTTTGTGCTGCTGGTACTGACAGGAAAGAAATCCGGGCACTCCCACATCTCAGTTTTTCCTGATGAGTGAAGTGGGCTGTCCATTCTAGTCCAGTTAACAAAATCTTTGCTTCGATATAGAATTGCTCTTCCATGACCATTAATCTGACTTCCAACGATAACTCGCCAAATCTTGTCAGGGCCTTGCCAAGCAGTTGTTGGGTCTCTATAAAGATCAGGATCAATGCCATCAATAGGAGTCATTAGGGGATTATAAGGTGATTTTATCCATTCCCTCAGTAGAGGGTCAGACAGGTTCTTAGGCACTGCCAGGTTTTGAACTTGATGATTCTTAGTGTCGATTCCAGTGTATAGAATGGCAGGTTTTTCCCCAGGAAGGATTGTGGTGGAGCCAGACCAGCAACCATTGATGTCAGAAGGCTGCGTTGGATAAATTGCATGATCAATATGAACCCAATTGACAAGATCATATGACACTGAATGAGCCCATATAATGTTCCCCCATACTGCTCCATCTGGATTGTACTGATAAAACAGATGGTATACTCCCTTGTAGTACATTGGTCCTGTGAGCGATAAATCTTAATTAGACCATGATGTATATTTTGTCTACAATGTTTGGCTGCAACTCATAATGTCAGTTCTCTATCACTGTGGTATGCCACACAACAAACCACAGAAGAAATAACTCGCAAGGAAAACACAAAGAAAAGGAAAAATCTGGAGAAGAAAATGTACCAGGCATGCTCTTACTTCACGAGAGAGCTTCCTAAGGAATAATCAGGTCAAGAATGCACATTCTGACAAAAAGCATTGGCAATTTGTCTTTGATATATCTATCCTATTACATTGTTTGATAATTAAAGCATGAATCTAATTCAAAAGAGTATACTGGGGAAAAAGGATTTGAACCATAAAGGAGAACAGTAGGATGAGAGAAACAAGAGAGCTTACCATTGGGATCTGCAGTGCAAAATTCCCACCATAACATGCCAAATGGTGCAAGAAAAAAGAAGCAACAGAAGAAGAGATCAGAGATTAGGAAATGCCATAAAGAATAATAAAGAGAGGAACACACTTAGAATGAAAACTGTGAAGGCGTACCATTCATCCAGTTTTTAGGAGGTTGAAAGTGATAGCCAGTTCTGTATGGCTGGTCTGTTTCCTGAAGGTTTCTGCTACTTTGATGGGAGGCTTGGGCTCCATGGTCAACCAACAAAACGCAGAATCCAACCACCAAAATAACAGATATCTCCATTAAAGTTTTTCAGGTCAACAGCCTAGTGCAAGTCCAATAGAACATAGGTTTCCCTGCCAATTTTCTCCTTTTGTTTCTACCATGTGAATTGAACTTTCAACTTGCATTTTTAAATTCAATATTTTTAAAATAATTATATATTTTTGAGTCTAGGAGGGGGGTTTAAGATTCCAGGAATTCAGTAGTCTAATCCAAATTGCTATAAAAAATTGTTAGAAATAGACTTGAGACTTTGTGACCGCTTCCCAGTAATGAAAATAAGTTTTTATAGGTGGGCTGGGAAGAAAAGTTCATGGGAATATGAAAAATTTAATTGCAGCTATTACCAAAATTTTAAAACAAGAGGGATTAAAAATATTGTTTTTATAATTTTGTCCTCCTCACAGTAGATTGTAGATTGTATATTGTGAGTGAAGATGTTATTTACTCGAATAATATTTTTTATGGTTTTGCTATTAAAAAAAGATCAAAAGTCTTTTTATAAGGTCATTAATCATCATAGATAGATGCAGGATTTTACATTTTTAACGCTCGGGAGCTCATTTGCCATCGTTTGAGAGTATGATTACATCTCTTGTGACAGATCAAAGACAACATTTCAACCTTACTACCGCATATATGTAGAATCTGTCAATGATCCCTTAATTAGTTTCCCAAGATGGAAATTGTATCAGTTTCATTCTCCACCTTTCAACAGGTGGCCAAGGTGCCTTTGAAAAATGGTGGTACAGGAGAATTCCTGCCAAATTGGGCTAATTCTTGATGCTGCTCACAAGCCAATGATCATGGACTGTGAAATTGTGAGAGCAACACCATGAATGTATAGTAATTGTAAGTGAAACCATGCCTAGTCAATCAATTAACAAAGTGCTCTCCATGCGGTGCAAGAAACTCAAAATGCGGATAAAAAAACAAGATTAGCTTGTTTCGAATTTGAATCTCTTGATATACAATGAATGAAGAATTAGAAAAACTCAAATCTAGATGTCTAAGAAGCTTAAAGCTTCGAAAGGTAGCTGACATCATTGCAGTTCTTTTGATAGGACCATTGGTAAACTTCTATTTCTCTTCTCTGTTTCAGCTTTTAAGGGTAAATGACATTAGCAAGCACAAAAGAGAATACATTGATCTTCTCCAAGTATAGAAGCCCCGGAGACATAAAAATTAAAAACAAAGTAGACTGGATGGTAAATCAGCCAACTTATTGGTTGTAAAGACACCTATACCAGCCAAAAGATCTTACATCCATTCCACACAAGACACTAAAGCAGACTGCAGAGGCCATGCGATGCTCCTTCCTTTTTAATGTGATGCCTTGTAAATGAAGTTTTCTTTGTGATTCATTTGGGCTTTGTTCATGCTCCAAGCATTCAGACTAGAGATCGTCACGCTCAGGGTTCCATTGTTAAATATAAACAGGTGAGCTTCTTCATGAATAGCCAACTTAGGATAAATTCTATTGGTGATGCAAGCTCTCCCTTCCCCACCAAAACTCTCAATAATGGAGTGATCAATCTGCAAAGCATTGCACAAGCATGTTGAAACAAACTGCAATTGGATGGTAATCCCTATAAAAAACAATATCACTAATTAACTCACCAAGCATCTTAATGAAATATTTTCACGCTGAGGGTCGATATCTATGAAAGTTCCATATGTGGTTTTATCGACCTCATCTCGAAGAGCAGATCTGTTAGCAGGTATTAGGTACAGTATTAGTTCCAGTTATTTGATATTTAGTGCTTGTTCTACATTTGGATTTGCTGAAGGGACTAAGGGAGAACCTGCTTTGATCACTGCACATGAGCACTACATGTCCTTTCAGACCTTTAAATATCCGAAAGAAAATCGCAGTTTGTTCAGTTAAGTCCTTCGTTGCTAAAGTTAATAAACCAAATGGACCCAATTTGCCTTTGATTGATGCATTTGCGTCAGAACAAAGTAGCTGAGGATCAACTGCAGTAAGGTTCAAGAACTCAGCCTCTTGCAGTTCTGGCAACTCAAAAACAACCTCCACATCTGCCTTTTTTAAGAAATGAGGAAGTTGTCACAACTGAAGAGTTATATCAATGCAAAAAACTTCAATCTGAGATACTATGACAGAAAAAAGGAAACTTGGAAGAAATGCAACTTAATCATGAGACAACATTTCATTTCAACTACTACTTTTCCCTGCTAACTGGAATTCAACTATTCACCTGTGCGGCAGTAATGCCTTGAACTTCAAATATTGCTTCACTATCAATTTTCTTATGAAGGAAACTGACTTTCTCGCCATGTAGTTTGTTGATTTCCTCAATGGGCCACTGCACTAATTGCTTTCCACTCCTATCCAACCAAATGTGCCTAGGAATAGACTGCCAGGAAGAGTAAGAAATAACTTAGGTTCAACGATGTTAAAACAAAACAGTTCACCGCATTTTATTACATTTATAACCCAGTAAAAAACCAAATGAATTTGAACTAAGCTAGAGATCCAACTTTTCACAGCCAGAAATTAAAAACAAGAACAGCATGCCTTCACTTAAATTCAACTCACCTGAAGTCCAGACCATCCTTTGTCCATGTCATCTTCTATGCTATCAGACTCATTTACCCAACCCCATAAGATTCTCCTATTCTTGACACTGTCAAAGAATGTCTTTGAAGCATAAAATTTTCCATGGTCATACCTCAAGTCCATACTGGTACCGGTAAAGTCATTATCAGGAATGTATTTTTGCATCTCTGGGACATAAGTACCAATCATGTAATAGTCATGAGAGTTGAAGCTTGCCTTCATCACATGTTTAACACCCGCATTCAGGACAGAAGTATCTACTCCATAAGTGCTATTAACAGCCACAGGATAAAAGTCCGGGCACTCCCACATCCCAGTTCTTTCAGTTGAATAAAGAGGATCTTGGTACTTAGTCCAATTAAAAAAATCTTCACTTTGATACAGAATTGCCATTCCTTGATTATTGCTCCAGCTTCCAATGATCACGCTCCATTTCCCATCATGACTCAACCAAGCTGTTGTAGGATCTCTAAAATTGTTCCCTTCAACACCATCAGGAGGTGTCATGATAGGATTTTGAGCAAATTTTATCCATTCTTCAAGAAATGGATCAGACAGATTCTTTGGCATTGCCATATTCTGAACCTGACAATGGTTAGCATCAATTCCAGTGTATAAAATGATAGGTCCTTTCCCATGAAGAATTGTAGCAGAACCAGACCAGCAACTGTTGATGTCATATGGTTCCGTTGGGCAAAGGGCATGATTGAGATGAATCCAGTTAATGAGATCATATGATACAGAATGCGCCCATATCATAAAATCACCAAACAATGCTCCATATGGATTGTATTGGTAAAATAAATGATAAACTCCCCTATACCACATTGGCCCTGCACCAGATTGATCATTGTCATAACACAGTTGGAGCATGTTTCACTAGCAGTAAAGCATAGACCCTGACACTCCAGTTGACACCAAAATCCAAGACCCACTTTTGGAAATAGATTGGATAATTGATTGGTGCATTAAGAAGATCAGTAATTTGCTGCATGATCAATAGGAGACCATACAAGAACTTCAAAATGATATTCTAATCCTGTTATTAATACACAAAAAAGGCTTTTCTAGTTCAATTTTTCTCAATAATAGAAATCAGCAGTTTCTTGTGCTATCCAAACATCCATGAAGAGATAAAGAATGAAAAGAGGGAACATGGATCACATAGTTACTTACCATTAGGGTCTGGTGTGATCATAGGCATCATTTATTCATCAGCAACCAGTACATGTAACATGTTAAACACAAAGATTAAAACCCGTCTTCGGAATACATAGACACATAAAGAAAGAAGGAAAGGAACACACTAAATGATTAAAATTGACCAGGAAAAAGAAAAAAAGAGTAAATATACATACCGTTAAGCCAATTTCTTGGTGGTTGGAAGTGAAAGGAGGTTCTATATGCCTGCTTTTCTTGCAACATAACCGTGTGAGGCTGAAAATTCTGGCATCCGTTATTCTCCGAGGCTTCAACTTCAATTCCATTGCTTTGCAAAACACAGCATAAACCAACCAAGAAAACAGCACGAATCGCCATGTTTGCATCTATGACAAAGACCGAAAAAACAAATGGCCTTGAGCGAAGATAACTGAGGAAATTGCTTGCTACCTACAACGTTTTCTTGTCTTTGTCAGTACTAGCGTCATTCATGTGAAAGACAGAAACCACCCCATAACACTACAAATTTGGATGAGACTGATTGGTTCACACCCTATGCCAACCTGAGAAAATCAAAGAATAAGCCAGACTTATTTTACCGATCTGTCAAAAATATGATACAGTATCAATTCTCAAGTACTTCACAAGGTGAAGCTCAGAGAAGGGACACAGTGCACCATTACCAAGTTATTTGACAGTTTAAGACTATTCAAATGCTGAGGACAAGGACTCCTTGTCTTGATCGGATCGAGCTTCCCTTTCTTTTCTCTTTTTACTAAGAATCTTAAAGAACTCAAGTTTCTTTTCTAATAATATAAAGGAAAAAAATTATTTTCTAACAAGGTCACTGATAGGTTTCTGTATATAAATATATATGTATAAGTGTTGTCATAAATTAAATGATGATTAAAAAACAAACATGTCATCAATTAATAACTTCAAATCTAAAGCATCCATTAAAAAGAGCAAGGGGATAAAAAAAATAGATGAGTGCTAAAGGCTTCAAGCCAAGTTCCAAGTCATGTGGCCATTCATCGGTAATTTGATATTATCCCGTTGGAGAAAATAAAAATAAAGTCGTTTTCAATCCTCTACTTTGTTGACAACTCCGTTTCAATCCAATAATTGAGTTTAATTTAAGATTTTTTTTTAATCCAAAGGGATGTCCAACGGCAAATGATATTCCTCTCCACCTTTCTAAGTTTATTAATGTGATGTGTGATATTTTTATAAAGAAATTTATTTAAAATATTTTAAAATAATATTTTTTCAAATTTATTTAAAATATTTTAAAATAATATGTTTTTATTAAAATTATAAAAAATATTAAATTGATATTTTTTTATAAAAAAATATTTTCAAAAACAAGTTGAATCTAAAAAACAAGC